CCGCCCTTTACTGCAACGCAGCAGCAATAAAAACCTGACGGGCCACGCATTCAAACTCGCAGAAAAATACAGTCGTCTGAAGTGCCGCAGCAATTTTTTTTCCATTCGAGTCTGTCACCCGTGGAATGCTCTCTCAGAATCGGTCGTCTCTGCATCGACACTAACAGTATTTAAAAGACGGTTGGAAGATGCACTCACCCACTTACACTTTGTTACTTAACACTACGTCTCCATCCTACACCTGGAGTTTACCATGGAATTATTTGTTGTTAACTGTGGAAGCTGTGAATCTAAGAGGATCACAGGACTGCAGCGAAGCAAACGATAAGTCCTTATTTTCATATTTAAAGCATTAACTATTTTACTATCCTTATCATCATTATGGTTATGTTGATATCCCCACCAACTATCCAACGGGACTTGTAAAGCAACGCTTCTTAACCAGTATAAATTCATTGTTCATTGTTCTGATGAGGTCAAACACGGTCTAAACACGTCATGCTATGTAGTGTTTTCATGCGGAAAACACACAATTTTCCTACGCCACAGCTACTGTCCTAGTGATCGAATAGACCAAGGTTCGTTTCAACGTGAGTCACGGTCCACATTGAGTTGGTGCTTCGCAATCCAATCATATATCATCATCAACAGCAGTACATCAGCCATTTGAACTGATGCTTCGCTGCCATACAACCATGAGGACCTATGAAATATGGAATAAAAAGAGGGAGAGAACGGGGACTTACCTGAAAGCCATAATGACCTAAGCAAACATTCAGTGTCAAGGCGCCTACACCTTGTGTAAACAACCCACCGTCACAAACTGCTGGCCATCGTGAAAGGATAAGGTGGTATCGGCGAGACAGCTTCCTTGCGCATTTCACTGTCACGCGTCATAATCAGCCACTACCCCGCAGATAACTCAGCACCGAACACACTTTAAACAGGCAATCCGATTAGGAGACGGCAACAGACGCGCCACTGGTGTCGGTTGCGAGCCACGTCCCGTAAAGTCTCGAGCCAAGCACAAGGTGAGTCACGTGGACTCCAACCCGGAAGGCGAGACGGACCAACGGCACCCAGTTTGGTCGTCAGTGACTTCATTTCCCGCTGCCAAGTCAACTTCTGTCCACTGCGAGCCTTTTGCCACCCTACACCTGGCAGACTAAAAAAGGCCCTCCTAGGTAAGCGGTGGCCAGGCATACGTAGCACGTGCCCGAGCCAACGCAACTTATTCAGTGCTATCTGTTGTTCTAGGGAGGTAGCATGATTATCACCACCTAGTACTCGCATACGCACATTATCGTGCGGACACGCTGGTGCCATCCGACACCAGCAGACAACGATGATCTAAATTTGAGGGCGCCTCAGATCTTCAGACCGAAGGAGCCAAATCTCACTACCATAGAGCAGAACGGCCCTCAATGTAGCCTTGTATACTCGGCCTTTCAGACGAAGTGAAACTCCCTTCTGTCGCCAAAGATGCCGCAGATTAAAGAAGGCGGCTCTGGCTTTTGCAATGCGTGAGCTGACATCAGTTTCTATACGCCCATCATTGCTGATGCAGCTGCCAAGATAAGTGAAATGATCAACCACCTCGAGTTCCTCGCTAGCAAGCGTCAAAGGGTCATCAAGTGGCTGGTGGTCCTGCAGCAACACTTTGCACATTGAAGGTGCGAACTGCATACCAAATAATGGAACCACTCTAGAATGGCTCTTCAGAATTGCCTGTGCCGCGGCAAAGTCGTCGAAAAACAAGACGATATCGTCCGCATAATCTAGATCAACTAACCTTCCACCAGGCAGCACTTCAATGCCTACATCGTGAGATTTCGCAAAGGAACACCATGGTAGAATCCAGGACGAAATTGAACAAAAATGGGGAAATCGGACAACCCTGACAAACGCCACTTGTGGTCGGACTGCTATCCGATGGGACACCATAGACCCTGACGCAACCTGTAGTGTTCGAGTATAGAGCACGAAGGATGTTCACCTATTTCATGGGAACACCTTTCCGCGCAAGTATGTCGAACAGAATCGATCGATCGACTGAATCGAACGTACTCTTGAAATCGAGGAACACAGCTATTGTCAGTCTGCGGAGTACGTGGCGCTCCTCTAGCACGTGCCGCAAAGTGAATATGTGGTCTATACAGCCACGTCCTGGGCGGAAACCGGCCTGCTCTTCCCTAATCCGAGATTCCCGTTCCGCAGTGAGGCGACGAACGATAATCGATGCCAGTAATTTTTTCACAACTGGCATTAAGCTAATACCCCTGTGGTTCGCACAGTCTGGGCGACTGCCCCTTTTTGCATATTTCCACTATAATCGATTCACTCCAATTAACCGGGACACTCTCTTCCTTCCAGATACGTTCGAATAGGGAGGTCAGTGCCCCGCAGAGGACCTCACCTCCGTCCTTAAATAGTGCAGGTGGGAGGGAATCCGGGCCAGCGGCACGAAAACGATTGAGGGCTGTGGTCGCGTTTTGGACCTCGGACTGTGCCAGTGGATCTAAACTAATCGTTCATGGCTCGTCCTGCATCACCTGAGTAGGAAGAGGTTCGGGAGCATGGGAGCCAGCTGAACTCATCTTGAAAGTGTTCCGCTCAGCGAGCCATACGGTGCTCCTTATTTTGTATCAAAGGACTGTCCAACCAATCGTTAACCGTTGTGCAACGCGTTAACCGTCGTGCAACGCGTTAACCGTCCTGATTCAAGAGCTAAGGACTTAGTGGTGTCAACTAAAATCCCGATGGTCCCAGCTTTGAATGCTACTGTCTCTACCTGGGGAGACCAAACAAGGTCGAAACGCGTAATCGAGTGCAGTGTTTTCGGCCGTGCTAATCTCAATCCTCGCGTCATCAGCTATAGTCCTTATGATCGAACTGAGCAAGGTTCACTTCATTGCAAAACACGGCCCACATAGAGAGTAGGCGTCACAGTCCGATCACACAAGTAGCACCTCAAAATAACTCTCTAATCATGAACTGAATACTCATTCACGAGTTATGTATTAGTCTTAGCCCTTATGTCAGTGATCATATGAACCACCGTAACGCCGTCTGAGGGTATAAAAATATATTGTCTAAGCAGTTGCGCATACCTTTCATAATTTGGCGAGTATACTTCAAACTTTAACTATGCATTATCAGGAAAAACCACCTGCTTTTATTGACGAAATTGGGGTTAGCATTACGTGCCTGGTAAATACTTTTAATGTAGCATGATTGATCGATTGCCAAGCAGAAGATCGGGTGATCTGCATTAGAGTGATTAATACAGCTATAAAAACGCGAATGATAAAGGAACAACTAGATTGGTTGCTTGGTGTAAGCTATTGAAAGCGAACGCGCAGTATCAGCTATCATGTTTGTGACTGCGACGGCCTTACCGACAGCAAGGTATTAGGATTCTTGTTGAAAAATATGGCTATACTGCATACAGCTATCTTTTATTGAATGCAAGCCAAGAAATTAGTGATAAAAGAACTGGAGTTACTGAAATTTCCTACGAAATCTACTACGTGGTTGGGTATGAAACTATAATAGATGCCAGTTAGATCGGCAAGATGACAGCCGTTTGGGACAATTCAAGTCATCGTTTATAATAGTGTGGGCCTGATCTTAATAGACGCTAATACGAAAAGAATCAGATAAATATACCCAGTCCTGTTTTTTACACATTTCTCTTCAACCGTCAGCGTGCATTTAGATAACCAGCGAAAGTCCCTAGAATTTTATGCCAATGATAACATGCTCTAAGAAGTACGTCTAAGTAACGGGGTTAAATGTCAAAGCACAAACAAATTCAGATGCTTTATCACAGTCCACGCTCAATAAGCAGATTTTGGCAAGTCTGAAAAATCACCAAGTATCGCTGGTTCGACCTTCTGGGTTATGTCTGTGGTGCGTCTTCCATCGGACCCCTGCTGGGTTCCGACTTCATGACTTCCGGATGCCATCAGTTAGTGCCGCTTCGCCATGGGTGACAGCCGCGGACCTGTGTGATTGAAAGTTAATGAACAGTTAATAAACCATTGGCCGAGCTTTGTACACAAAGACTTTTGCTATCGTGCATTTCTTAACATACTGCTCGAAGCTCGACAGCAAATGATACGCTAATTAGCGTAATCAAAATCGACTTCTGAATTGTTGATCCATTTGCTTCACATTCTTTTTGTCTTTCATTTGCATTGTCTCGTTCTTATGGTACTCTCCAAACCGTTGGCTTTCGCCACGCTAACCTTCCTCTCCCTCATTGTTACATGTAGATAAATCTATGACAAATCTGCTATTTTTTCGTTGGATTTTCATACCTATCTAACTATAATAATAAATCAAGCTTTGCCTGAATGTATTCATACCGTTTCATGCTTAAGGCATTAATGAAAACCTACAGTTTCTTCCGTTAACTGCACTATGTTTTGCCAGTTATACAACGGACAGTAGTCTGGACGCTTTAAGTCTCAATCGATACATCCAACGACTTATTCTAGAGTCATTGCTGGAGTACTTTTTGAAGTTTATGATTGAATTTGCTTGTGCGTAAACTCAGGAATATAACGATGTTACAGCAGGCTGTTTCGACACGTTTTGGTGTTACTGTAGGTAGGCAAGAATACAGACTATTTTGATTAACATGGAACTTGTCCAGGGGTCTATTTCTTGTGTGAAACTGCCTCTAATGTATATAATCCAGTCACCAAGAACTTATATATTTAAATGAAGCAGATTCATGTCTAAAAATAATAAATGGGAAAGGTAGAAGTTTGTAAACATAAACTACAAAGAACTTACATTTTCTATTATCCATTAAACCAAGGTTGCCTCGTTCACTGTCTAGCAAAAGGTTTGTTCTCCATGCAAAAAGCAACTAACAAAAATTTGTAGCGGTTAGTTTTCATGATGACTGATTGTTATCAAAACTTCTCCCAGTGTAGCTACAATGAGCACTATGTTTTTTCCCATTGTCGCATAATCTTTATGTTTATTCAGATGGATGGAGTCGCTCTTGCGGAATCGTTGTTATATCGCGATCACGATGAAGTGAACCACATTTTCCAGGTAACAGTATTTTTCTACCGGTTCTCTTACCCCAGCTTAGTCACTCACTCTTACAGACTCCAACACACATGCAAAGCAAAGCTTTACTCACAGTCGTGCAGGCCCACATCAAACGTTTGCATCCCCCATAGAACTGGACGCAAACTATAAGTTTCACGCATGCAGCGCCCCACCAGAGCCACACACTCAGTCAGTTAATGTTGACTCAACCGACCTCTATATATTTTGTTAGATTCAATCTCAGTGGGCAGTGTTTAGCTGAACACCAACAGTTCCTTTCTCCATCGGTGTCATCTACTGAAGGTATTGGAATATTTCAAAGAAGGTAACCCCAAAAGTGATTTATTGTAATGTAAATGAAAAGACAAGCCAATGGAGCTTCTGGTGGTGAAATGAACGTCACTACGCTGCATCCCAACTGCAATGAAAACGCAAGTTCATCAGTTATTAAATTTAAATCCTAGAAAAGCATTGTAGTGAAACATCGACCTACACGCTGACGTCCTCATTTCAGTAGTATACCTGTATGAATCAGGTGAACAAAATTCTTGGTGGCAGACATGCGCCTTAATTAAGCAGCAGACAAACGGGCTCCTTCATTTTGTCTGCAGGTCAGGTAGCGATTGCTGCCCAAAAGCAGTGAACTTACAAGCCTTCCTTTCCCAAATGTTTTGATCCAGTTTGTACATCACTCGGTTTTTTCTCCGAGTTGTCAAGTTAGGCCTGATGGCATAGAATGTTGTCCATAAATTTTGGTTACGAAAAGATGCGCGTTGCGAAAGTGTTAGGGAAATAAGTTTTGATCTTCTTTGCAGCATGCTCGGACACGCAGTTAACAGTACTTATTTTGTTCTATTACTGCAGGATCTATATCAATCTGATGAGAGGAATTATTCCATCGACAATCAACCACCGATTGTTCTTCAGTGTCCGCATCTAGATAACACGACGAAACGGGTCCATGTGGTTGAAAATGTAAACACCACTTGCCCGGAACACGCAAACATCGAGGAACTTCTAGGAGCCTATCGAAAAGGCATATTGTTAAATGTGCAAGCCTTTGGCGATGCTGCGTTATATCCAGGAGCCAGTCAGACGGAGCGCGGAATGATGTCTTGTTCGATCCCGGATGAAATGTGCCAAACACCAAGGCAATTGATATTGGACAATCCTGCTACTGCAATACCATGCTGTCAGCTGAGGGAGGCACAATGTTCAGTTGACGATATAAACGCAAACAATTCAGATTGTTGCTCGACGGCTAATGACTCAATGCTGGTCACTACACAATGTCTCGATGGTGGTGTGGACCACGACGCCGTTTCACAATCGCCCCTCGGTTTGACACATCAGGGCGAACACAATTTGGCCACACGCAATTCCAGGCTGTTAGAACCAAACTCAGTGAAGTATGCGCAACAGAAGTAGGTTCAATCTGGTAGATGGCAAAGGCATATTGGCAGTAGTCTATGAGCAGGAAATAAGTAAATAAGGGTTCCTGGGGATACCTTTCTACCGCACTTCTCGGCATTTTTCGAATGGCCAATCTTAAACTTTTCCTTCCGGAAGAATTTTGGTCATGAGTTTGTAGCCAGGGAAACGTTTGTTTATTTTCTTTGGTAAATTTGCAAATGCGTCGAGTTCTGCTACTGAGATTAGGCCTACGTTAATTGTGACCGCAAAAATATGTTCCGAAGGCTAGGAAAGAAGTTTAGCAGCAACAACGGCTAAAATACGCATGAGAACACTTTTATTGGACGTATATCCACACGAACACCGTGGTGTATATCCGCGGATTTTTGAGAAACCATCGCAAAATATCTGCATATCAAGATTAGAACTCGTTCGTTTTCCCGGTTTGTAGACTTCACTTAACATATTGTAGCGAGAACGACGCGGGCTGGGAGCATAGCGTGTATTGCCACAACAATGCGCAAACCAGCCAATCACAAACCCGTACAGATATGGACCGTGTTTCCTTCCCACGAGGAACCGAGGATGAGGAGTTGAGAGACGGGTCATTCTATATGCCTCACTTGAGCCTGAGAACCATCCCTGCATGTTTTCATCCCCGTATCTCCACTTCCCTACATCCGGTTTTGGCCAGCCAGGATTCATTCGAAAGCTAGTGATTTACTTTCCCCTGGCTGCATTACTCGGTCTGCGTTCAGTCACGTGGGCTTCGCTAACGGTGTATTTGTCTTATTCACTGCGTTCCCCACAAATACCTCCTCCGTGGCTATGGGTCCAGGCTCGTTACCAGACGTCGCTCGTGATCCGCTCTCTGCTTGATCCGCAAGACTCACACTGCCTTGTCTCGTCCCATCCATTGTGCTCGTTGGTGATTCCCTACCATACCGTTTTTGTTGCCTTTTCTTTTCCCGAGTAGTCGTTGGCTTCCGCCTCCCTACAATATAACTCAACACCCACGAAAACTTTGTCGCAACAGGTCTCAGCCGTCCCTTGTACCTGCCGAAAATAGTCATCAGCTTGGTTAAGTTGCCACCCAATAAGCAAATAGGCATTGGCTGGAATTCAGTTCGGTTAGATAGGTTTGCTCAGTACTGACATGCCCCAATGGGATGAAAATTCTGCCATCAAGTTCGGACTCCATGGGCAATTTGGCTGCCGTGAACTTCTTGTATTTTTCTTGCTACTTTCTAGCAATCACAGTAGTATAGTTTTAGGATGTTAATAAGAGCTTCCATAGCTGCCTGTGAGCTACCCTCCTGTCCCGCAGGCATGTAGCATAGTTGGCGGCATCCGCATCCAGATTTGCCCGTCACTGCGGCCTCCAGTGGGACAGCCAAAGTAGGCCTGCGCCTACAAATGGACCATGGGTGGCTTGCGCTGCACCACTCACTGCTCCATGCAAATATCCCACATCCGGTGTAAATCCGAAAGAATTAGACCGGGGGCATGTGGATGGGAGCCACGTTTCATCAACGGAGCTGGCCCACACTCCTTCACAGGCAAACATATGCACACTGCATTTGGGGATTCAAGTGCACACAAAACGGTAGTTAGAACGTAGCACACTCCACACACAAACCATGTGCATAGTACCACTCTTCGAGCCTAGCACGGCCACAAGGACCGTGCACCCTGTCCCCTCCAGCAACGACCTACTGTCTTCTGGAGCCAGTATGCACGAGGAAGTGGTGATGCGTAATGCTTTTGGCATGTTATTTGTGCTTTTGTAATCTTGTAGATAATTTCCTTCCTAAATAAACCAATGAAAAGACTGGTATTGCGAGATCGAACCATTTCGTGTTACCTGCTCACTCGCAAACTAACAACATGAATGTGAATAAGGTGAGAGAAAAAATTGAAGGTTTGAAACTGGTCACAAAGGAAAAGTACGTAGACGCAAGAATAACAGTTCAACGAGCTTGATCTTAGGGTCATGAGCCCCAAGGAAGCTTTAAGCAGACTGTCAATTGTTTCTGTACACAAAGGATAGGGCGATGCCGGTTAAGTGGCACAGCTTCGGCAAACCTCAAAATTCAGTGCTTTAAATTTCCTTCCTGTTTGACACACAAACAGTCCCTCGCAATTTTGGAACTGTACCTTGTAAACAACATCCAGACATCCGCCTGCTTTGATTTTCTTTTTCGGTCAAAAAAGCAACCAAATTAAAACCCGTTAATGCGAGCTACAAGCATTACGTTTAGTGTGTACCTCTGTGTCTACGACAGGGTGCCGATCTTCAAGAAGCATTGTTCCTTGTCGTTATCCATAGCAATATACAACAGCGGGACCCCCATGTCTACAGATTAAGATGTACTATTTTTCGCACGAATATTTCTGCAAGTTTGCCTTAGAGATGTTCCCGGGTAAACATGAGGCTGAATTGAATTGTACCAATGACATGGCACAAATCAGTGATGATCTGTGCAGTATGCAAAAAGCTCTGAACCACTCAGACAACATATTCAGCCACGGAGGCAGACGGGTCATGGATGCGAGTGCTGGGCCTACAAAAGACAGTTTCTATAGGTCACCTGCTCAAATGACCAATGACAATGACCTACTGAAATGCACCCGCGTGACTACCCAGTTCACACCTACTTACACATCGCTCCGCTTTGGTACATACTAATGTGTTGATGATGTCAGTACGGCTGGTAATGCAAACTTTGCAGAAGTATCAAGCTCACTAAGCATACACTACGATAATTCTTCAGCAGACTAGTGCCGTTATATACAAATTAAACCAATCAGACAGAGAGACTAATGAGGTCGTTAAAAAGTGAAATCACTGATTAGAAGCTGTTGATAATCGATTTACATTAGATCCTTGTCTCGAACTGTACGCGTTATTGTTGAAGGTACTA